AAATGACTTGTTTAGAATAAAAACTTATAGCTCATTAAGGAAGATTCACTTGACTTGCATAAACAGTTACATTTCTGGAAGAAATAGGAACCCCATGAATAATAAAAAAAGGAGCAGCAATCGACAGACACAGGCTTCAAGCAAAAATCAGAACTTACAATTTAATCACATTAAAAATATACCATTTTGTTTTCCAGCATCTTCCCCTACGGCACTAACAGTTTACAGCTTATAGCTAAAGAAGCCTAGCTATCCGACGAAACATTTAAATGGCAAAAAACCAACTTTCCTTTGTTGTTCTGAGAAAGGTTCTAATTCTGGTAAAGCAAAGTACTCAATATACTGCTGTAGGCTCTCATAATTCAGAGACAGGTCATCTTTCTGGCACCAATGCAAAAGTGTTGATATTACAAGACCTGACGTGCCTCCATTCTTTCAGGCTCAATAATACAGGGACATCAAGTATTCTTTTTATAATGAGAAACTAAGCCTTCAATCATCCGCCTTGCTTCTGGTATGGAACAAAATTTCTCAGACCCAGAAACACCTCAGATGAAAAAAAGCTAAGACCAAAAATTGTACTGACAGTACCTTCTAAAGTCTACCTGCTCACCCATAAAACAAACAAGGCAATGTTTAAAAAACAAAACAACAAAAAAAGCCCAACAGTGGTGTGTGAAATAGGAACCTCCTCCCTCAAAAGGGTCAGATATACACCTAAGCAGAGATCTTAACCCTGCTAATAGCTGAATTTTTGAGAACGACAGTTACACAGATTCCATGGTAATTAACATCTCAGTTACAAAGTGGAATGAAAAGGAACTTAGCTGTAGTATCATTAAGTGTTCTTACCACTGTTAGGACAATTAATGGCTTCACAGTAGCAGGAAATTCTGAAAGCCTCCTGTGTGTACTGGTTTTCAGAAGACATTCACTTTACTACAGCAAACAGCGAGCAATATAAAAATGCACAGATGTTTCTAAGCCATATCATTAAAGGTGAAGAAGCTTAAGGGAAGATTAATGAAATGTATCATATACATATGCATTCATATATTTTATTATATATATATATTAGAAAAATGGATCCTTGCCCTCCTCCCCACAAACAAGAAATAATCTGTATTTTAAACAAGACCACTCCATTAGCAAAGATTAAGAGCCTGACAGAAGCGGCATCTGCATATTTTGGTTTACTATGTACAACTGTATTGGCCATAAATTGCAGGATTTCAGTAGCAGGGGGCTAGGCCTGTGCTAGTCAGAACAGGTTCTAGCTTGCATTGAAACTGATGTAAACAATCCATTACATGCCAAAACTTCAACCAGAGGTGCACACAGTGCCTCTGCTTAAACATATTTTAAGAAAGAGTGGCAGCTGCTACCAAGAGGTGCAAGAAGATACTCCTGGGGAAGAAACGCATGCAGAGAAACTGAAGAGCTCCTCTTGGGAAAACACATGGAGAAGACACTGAGGACATGTATAGAAACACAGTCATAGAAGGACACAATCCATGTCTCAGGAGATTACCTTCTGAGGGTCTTTGGCCTATAGGTAAGCCATGCCAGAGCAGGTACACCTCTGAAGTAACTGAGGCCCACAGGAGACCCAAGCTGGAAGAGGAACATCCCTGAAGGGACTATGGCCTGGTATCACCATGAACAGTGATGCTGACCAGCCCAGAGCAGCAGAGGACAGCCACTAAGAAATGAAGAGCATCAGAAAAGCCAGTACGCACATGAGCCCAACCCCCTGTGTGATCTGTCACCTCACCAGAAGAACTGGCACGGACTGAGTGCAACTCTAAGTGAAAACAAGGGAAAACAACTACAAAGGCAGGGAGGAGAGGTGTTAGACTTAAGTTGAGCCTGAGGAAGTGGGAGAAAAGATGTTTCCTTAAGTGTTTAAGTAATTTTTTGTTATCTTTTCCCCCCAATACCTGAATCAGTGATTAGAAGTTTGTTAAAGGGCAATAAATTAAATTCAGAAAAAACGCCACAAGTCAACTGTGTTGCCTGTGAAAAGCAAAAGTAAGGATTTTAGACATGTGTATCAAGCTTCCCTTTAAAAAAAAAAATCAATCTTCTCAACTAGATTTCATAACAATCATATCATTATTTTCCTGCAATCAATTGGTTTTATAGAAATTAACATCAGAAAGCCAAGTGCTACAAAATCAGTGGAGCAACATTTGTTGGACTTACAAGACAATGTCATGATATGGGATAAAACAGTAATAGGCAAATATTAAAAAGTTACTATTCATGCTAAGTCATTAAAAAAGGACATGGTTCTATAATATGATCTACTGGACCTGTTATAAAACCTTTAAAGTGTCTCTCACAGTAATTTTATTTTAAAGCTTTATTTCAAAGTAATCTAACTGCAAATAGGAGTAATGTTTAATTTTGAAATGTCCCATGTAAAAGTCATTCCAAGCTGGTAAAAGAAACAGTTTTGCTGGCAGCTCTGTAGGATGGTCTGGGTTTAACAGAAATAATTTTTTGCATGACCATGGTTTTCAGCCTGGTGTTTTCAACCAGTCTTTGTTTATGGTTAAATGGGAAGAGGTACCCTTAACCTTTTTATGCAACACTGAAGTGACAATTTGAGAGGGGTTGAGAACTAATGTAACATACAAGATCATTCTTGAAATGAGTATGAGAATATCTTCCCTCAAATGTGATGATGGTACTTGCAGAAATGACACCCTGTATGTAGTAAGGCCTTGGAGAATGGGAAAATAGGGCCACTGAGTGCAAGAACCCTTTCCTCTACACTCATGTAAACAGGCAAGCATTATAATTATTATTTTTTTAATATTAAAAAAGACAGTGTTACCAGTGTGGAAACAAACCATAAAGGGAATATAATTTCTAAGTTTAAAAAACATACTTATAAAGTTTTATGTTTGTTTTCTTTTTAAATACAAAGTGCTTCTATACATCAAGCAGGTTACAGTGTTAGTGAGCAAATCCCTGTTTAGTTACCTTGATTACAAGGGTTATATATGGCCACCATGCTATATTGTAGAGTTCAATTAAGTGCTAAGAATAGGAACTCTGTGATGCTGACCATTCATGCCCATTGCCAGCAATGGGTTCATCATATTTGGGAATATCTGTTTTAACAAAATTCCATATGAAAAATATCTGAAGGATTAGAAGATTAAGAATTAAGAGCCTCTTAAAAAAAAAATTAAAGTTTGTAAGTAGAATGCCAGAAAAGAAGTTACAGTAATTACAGCCCACTGAGTAGTAAAACCCCAGTTTGTACCAGATATTCATGTTCAGGATACAGTTTGGTCGTATCTTAAGACAATTTGTAACTGGGAGTTCAAAAAACCATCTAAATAATTATCTTTGTGTGGTTTTGCTTCACCATACAGGGTCATCTGTTTAAGTACGTTATCCTGCATATTGCAGTATCTAATACATAAATTGGGGCCAGGCAGGCTTAGGCCTTCGATACTGGTTAACTTTTTCCCCCCATGTTACCAGCACTGTACTTGGACATCAGCTCCTTCTATTATAGTCTGTTTATGTTCTGAAGGCTCTTTCCTTTTTACAATATGTTTTAGTAAACTACAAAGAAGGGTTAATTGCTTTTGCATAGAACTGCATTAAGCTTTCAACCCCAAAAGCCTGTTGCCACCTTTGCGATTGATGCATTCACTCCACCTGCAGAGCTGGCAGCATCTCTCAGAACTAAAAACACTCCTCCATCTATCTCCAAGAATGAGAGCCCAGCATATAGATCCTCATCCTAACGAAGCAGAAGTGCCACTTCCCCAGCAAAAATCCAGACTTTGGACATAAGCATGGTACCATGTTCTGCAGTACCATTAATAAGATCCAAATACCACACTTTCTACTTTTTTCCACAAGCAACTTCATTTGAAGAGGTAAACAACTCTCTCTGCTTGTGATCACATGTAACCAGTCACAGTAGTTCAGTACCAAGAATCTGTATTATAGTTCTTACTATTCAAAGAGTAAAGAATTATAAGTACATATACTTATCAATGACTAAATCATTTTCTTAAAGCAGGTTTCTAAAACTAGATAGAAGTTCTCAAAGAAGTTTTTGTACCAATGAAAAGTCAATTTGTGAATCCACAGTTTGGTACTTGCTACTGTAGTCAGCCACAAAAATCTGAACAGAAAACTGCAGTTTAAATGTTTGATTATTTTGGCTAAGTTGCAAATGTTACATCTTACTTTTTTGTTTTTGAGAAGACATATTTATTACACACACTTCTAGAAGCTCTCACGATGCAGCAATCAAAATCAAGTCAAGGCAAAAGTCATACAGCATTAGACCCTAGAGGAGCAAAGACAAATTATACTTAATTCAGACTGACGTTTATATAGTGCTCAACTATGTAAGTGCTTTACAGATGCTAAATAGAAATTGGCACAAAGTTAGACAACACTTGTTTTACTGAAGCTGGATAAAAAAATGGAAGACGGGTAAAGGAAAGCCAAATCATCTTTAACACAGCCTCTCATTAAGCAATACAGGAAAGGCTATTTAATGATGTAGACTATCTAATGATGCATGTTAAGTATGTTGGCAGTCTCCAGTTTGAGGAGACTATTTTTTTTCTAATTTTTTTCTAATTTTTTTCTAATTTTTTTTTCATTAAAATGTGAATCATATAACCTGGTTTGATCATCCCAGTTTTCTTTTTCATTAAGTAGAGCTACTTGAACTCCTGCTTCATGTAAGTATTTGCAGGATTTAGGTCAATTTAGAGATGGGTTTTACTGTGAATTTAGAAGACTCGGAAAACAATAGGGCTTCTAAATACTGCTGTGATCACAATCAATGTCACAAAGACCTTACAGACCTCATTTTGCAAGCACCTTTCAGATTAACCATGTGCACTCACCTGGAGTCATACTGTGGAAAATAGGTTTGGTCTGCTTATACCAGCAAATCATTAAAAAAAACTTGGGTTTTTTTTAGAATTTACAATAGCAAGTACCAGACATTATTTGCATAATTAGTTTATTTTGCTTACTCTACTAAACAAATGTAAGCACTGATGTCTTAGTTCATCTCAGTAGTACTTTGCTCAGCTTTAGAAGCTTGATATGACTTGGTACAAGAGGTTACATGCCGATGAAAACTGTCCCGCCACATAAATCTCTTCCCACAGATGTTACACTCATATGGTTTTATGCCTGTATGTATTTTCATATGGCCTACAAGATGGTGTTTCATTTTGAATTTCTTACCACAGACACCACAGCCATAAGGTCGAAGACCAAGGTGCATACTCATATGCCGATCTCTCTGACTTTTGTGTGTAAAGCTTTTACCACACTGACAAGGATACAGCTTATCAGCATGTGAGAATCCAGTGAGGGATGTTTCTTCTTTAATTCCTGTAGCCATTTCAATGCCTTCACCATAGCCTGCTGCTATCATAAGATCCTGTCTGTGAGTACTTAAATTTCCATCTGCCCTTTCACCAGAAAATTCTTCCATAGAAGAGCCATAGAAGTCAACTTGTTCATCATAATTACTTTCATCTGCCTGTTCATCAAATTCTGCTTCCATCTTTTTGTCACCTATATGAAAGTCTTCAACACCTGAAGACTGGATTGAATGATCTGTCTGAATGGCATTCATGGATTCAGAAACTTGGTGTTCATCATAAGGATTATCAACACCTTCACAGTCTTGCTCAAATCTTTCTGGTTTCACATGGATCCACCGCTTGTGAGACATGATGCTGGGTTTGCTATACATAGGTCTGGTATACTGGTACTCTGCACTATCACTAGTTCCTTCTTCACCATCCTGACTTGTCATTCCAGTGCTAAGTCTATCATGTTCTGTTGAAGAATTACTGGGAAGGTACTCATGTTCTGTCAGTTGACATGACAGTTCATCTTTAGAGCTCTCTTCTTCATTTTCACCATCCCTTAGTTCCTGCACTTTGTGGAATTCTGTCTGTCCTCCAGAGCCAAGTTCAAAGGTTTCAACAAGGCCATTGTAACTACTACTGCTCGGGGACTGATGATCACTGCCATGGTTCATCTTCTGACACAGAACTGTTGGGTTTCCCTCTAGCACTTCAGTGCATTTATCCACTACATGCCACATCTGAAGGAAACTTGCTGCTGTCAAATAACTAACAATTTCTGGAGCAGGCATTACCAGCCGACCTGTATAGGTAGACAGAAGAATGTTTTCAAATACTCTGGGATTCATCACATCAGGCAGCACTATTCGCCTGCTGTTTTTTAGGAGAACCTGATCACAGAAGTAAGGTGAACTAGCTGCAAGAACAGCTTTATGGGCTCTGAAGAGATGGCCCTGAACTACAATGGACACATCACATAATTGTCCTTGCTGGCGTTGCTGGTTTAACTTCTGCAAGATGGTGCTAGAAAAATCTGGAAATTCCACTCGAAAAGAGCTTGACCCAGACTCCATTTCATTACAAATTTAGTGTTGTGCTGCAAGAAAAAAAAAAAAAAATCAGAAATTCTGCTTAGTAAAGTATTGATCTTTCAATTTCCTTCTACACTTCTTCTTTTTTCTTTAAGAAATAACACTCTACATAGACTCATATGGAACTCCACCCAACATTTTCTGGAACCTATGTCACTGCTTTCCTTCTATTTGTCCTACCCCACCTCACTTCTTTTTCCTGAAAGTTGTACTGAAGCCACAAATCACTATGCCAGCACATTTTGTTGTGTTTCTTCTATCCAAGAGGACTCAACTATAGCAGGAGCTACAAACAGCATGTCACCCAGCTGAGATAGATTAAGCATTTCAAGCATGAGTTTAGGATAACAAAACCAGTTATTTGATGAAATTGTAACAGTGGAGTTCTAATTCTAGGATATCCCAGAGTTTGTAACAGTATACGAAAAATTCTGCATTTCAACAGCAAACAAAATCATCTCATCAATCCCCCAGTAAAGACTGACTGTATTCTTATGAAACATTCCACTTTAAATGAAGTTTTCAAAAGCCAACATATTTATTCATACAATGACAAAGGCAGCAGACAGAACTCTAGTGAGACTCACACAGAATCATTAAGGTTAGAAAGGACCTTCGAGATCATCAAGTCCAACTGTTAAGCCAACACCACCATGCCTCCTAAGCCATGTCCCAAAGCACCACATCCATGCATTTTTTGAATAATTCCAGCGCTGGTGACTCCACCACTTCCCTGAGCTTCACCACTCTCTTGGTGAAGAAATTTTTACTAATATCCAACCTAAAGCTCAATGAGGTTTATGACTCTTCTAGTGACATTTCCTTGTTGTTTTATTAACTGAAATGTGGACTAGCAACATCTTGTACAGCTGCAGGACTATAATCCAATCTTAATTCTGAGCTTTTTCAGATGTTATTATAACATTCCTTACTTTAAGAAAAGCCTTACAGACTTTAAAATGTTAATCATGAAAGTGATACTTCAGCTGTAGAGAATGTTTTTATGCATGTACCTTGTATATGCTAGAAGCTCACTTAAAAGCTCACAGATTTTCATGTTTGTATTGCCACATGATCCAGATGTCTTATTACAAAGTTAACAGTCTTTTAAGCAGTAATTCTTTAAAAAGTCTACTTTACATTTTAAATTTAATTTGAGATAAATTTGCATGTTATTACCATTAGAAATAATGACAGAAATTTAAGTGCAACTACAAAGGACAAACATTAACTGCCTGAATAAGTTAAACTGTGCAATTTTTCAATTTGATAATGCGCAAATTGAATACAATGGAATTCCAGAAGAGCCATGGAGCAGCAAGCAGTTTTCCTCTGTCAAGTCATGTTTCTCATAAGTGGGAAAGTATCAAAGTTCTAACAGATGGGGCTGCACACCTGAGAGAATACTTAGTAAATTAGCAGGTAGCATATACGTACAGAATTTAAAGCACTTTGTTGATATGGCGCAAAAATAGAATTTGCATTACAAGTAGTTGAGGACTGAAACTAAAGTACTTCTATGAAAATACGGAATTGAGAAAATATCCCTGCTACAAAGAGCCTGTACAATAACCATAGTACGTTCCATACAGTTACATAATCATCAATAGAAAACTGTTCATTTGGTGCACTGTGTTAAAATGCTGGCACGTTGGCACAAACGTATAACTGCAAAGTGCAGAAAAAGCAGCAGTGTTTGCTTAGAAAATGCAGACTACACAGGATTATGTAAGTCACTCAATGTTAAATCAACAGCTCATGGTTACATAATCCCTTCCTTACCATTTTGATCTGTTTTCCAACCCATATTCTTGACAACTCTCCCCATTCCCCAAAAAACTCAGTGCTCTGTCTCCAGAGTTTCAGAGATAGAAAAGGCTGACAAGCATATGGAGCATAGGTGAACACAGATAATTCACTGTTACCTTACATAAAGGTGACTAGGGTTTCCATAAAGAAGAGAGCATGGGAGTCAGAAAGCCATCAAAACTTTTCAATAAGCACAGGCCCAAATTCCTTGTAAATGTTGATATTGGCATATTCTGCAGAACGGTGACGATTATGCTTTTAAATTTTCTTTTAATTTTTCCACTAGAAGCATGGTATCAATCTGACTCTCTTACAAAGGTCTCTGAATAAAATACACGGGGAAGAATAACCTATTATTTATGAAATCCCATTTGCAACCACAATCACAGTAACATAGTCAAAAGGAAAAAAGGTACCTTTTTGGACCACAGTTTCCTTCTTTCTTCAAATCTTACAGTAATTTCCTGTGCTGGTTTTGGCTGAGATAGAGGTAATTTTTTTCATCATAGCTAGTATGGGACTATGTTTTGGATTTGTGCTTGAAAACAGTGTTGATAATAGAGAGATGTTTTTGCTATTGCTGAGCAGTGCTTATACAGTGTCAAGCCCTTTTCTGTTTCTCACACCACCCCACCAGCAATCTGACTGGGGGTACACAAGAACTTGGGAGGGGAAACAGCCAGGACAGCTGACCCCAGATGACCAAAGGGATATTCCATACCATATGATGTCACACTCAACAATATAAAAAGCTAGGGGAAGAAAGGGGAAGGGGGAACATTCGGAGTTACGGCATTTGTCTTCCCAAGTAACCATTAGGCATGGTGGATCCCTGCTTTCCTGGAGATGGCTAAACAACTGCCTGCTGATGGGAAGTAGCGAATAAATTCCTTGTTCTGTTTGCTTGCGTGCATGGCTTTTGCTTTACCTATTAAACTACCTTTATCTCAACCCATGAGTTTTTCCAATTCTCTTCCCCATCCCAGTGCTTGGGGGGAGTCAGCAAGCAGCTGCATCGTGCTTAGTTGCCAGCTGGGTTTAAGCCACAACAGGTGGGTAGCAGGAGAAACTGAAAGGACTGAACAAAGTTCCCATAAGAATCAGTCATAATTGTGGGGTGGGGCTTTTCAAAATTTTTTAAACACTCGGTGGCACAAGCAGTTTTCTTACAAATACTGCCTCACATAAATCACAGGTGAGCAGTTACATTCTGCTGAGACAGTAACCAAGATGCATCAACTGAGGAAACAGCTGAAAACTTGCAAAACCAGCACACCGTTATTTTCAAGTGCTTTGATTTGTTATGAAGGAGGAAAGCCCTTTACATCACAAAGCATTACTCCCCAGAGGGTCCTCACCTTCAGTTCCTCACAGCTTGCTTTATATATACTTTTAAGTATTTGACAAGCTAAAAATGATTATGCATGTCCCCGAACAAGCTTCTTGAGATGTATTCCCAAAAGTATATGGAGATTTCACATGAAAGTGCAAAACAGAAAACACCACTTCCCCACCTTTCAAATGAAATAAAAAGTCTAGGAACAGTAATCAACTCACCAGAAGTGAATTACCACAAACTGTCATACCTCAAGTGTAAATGTGGAACTTGCATTGAATATTACCACATTTATAACCTAGCTGTCATATAACCACTTTTAGCTAGTCCAAGAACAATCTGTATGATTGTCAATATAAACTCTTCAGCAGTCTGGTTCTTAATTTAGTAAATCGAATGGAATATTAGAATTTTTAAATTACTTCCTTGGAAAAGGAATCTCTGAAAAGCCTGCAGTTCAGCTGATCTTCTTCAAGTTGTCACCTACATAATAGCAGAAGACCACCTTTAAATTTACTGTCTTCAGCTCTCCTCAGGTTTTTTCCTCAAAGCATCAGTCCTGCTATGTACCCATAGAACCAATCCACTTCAGGAGACCAGATCAGCTATTTTTTGCAGAGTAACAGAATACTATGCCTGCCAGTTCACTTCTTAATTTTTCCTACCACTCTGCTTAAAACAATTTGAAAATGTTATTTAACTATTTAAAGGTTATCTTATACCTAGTGTACATTATATAACTACTTTTAAAAGTTTTTTTTTAAATGCAGGCACAGTTTTTACCTACTTTCAGAATATTCTCAGATTTAAGACTCTATTTTTCAATACTTGCCTACAAAAATGATAAGCCTTCAGAATACATTCAACTATAAATTTAAAGAGCCATGTCTATAGATCTTATACAATTACTGCTCGTCCAAATTGCCATCTTTCAGCAAGGACTCAGCATGCTACCACAGAAACAATTCCAGGTGGGAGCAGACTTTTATGTATTTTAAGTTCTCATGATAACCAAGACCATCAAAATGTAAGTAAAATTTTTTCTATTAGTAAAGCCATGAAGAAAACTTTGTTTTTCCAAAGAAGTTTCACTTCCTCCTTTTACAACCTGTTCTGTTTCTGCATTTTTTTAATCCCAACTCATAAAGAAAAAGGTCTTTCTATTTTTATTAATGAGGGGAAAAAGTAGTCTCTATGCTTCAACACCGTGTGAAACAATACAAAACACATACTACTTGCTTAAAAATAAAATTATTTTAAGAACTGCTAGTAGGTAGTTACTTCAGTTGTCCGTATACAGAGCTCTTGAAGAAACTAATCTCTTACATCTGCCGTGGCAACACCTTAGAACGCTACAACATCAGCTGTCGCAGACGCAGCGGCGGGGCCC